AAGGATGAGAATGGGAAGAGAGCAAACTCATCTGCACTCTTCCTGGGCTGCTTGGATGTACTTTTAACAAACTTCTTAAATAGTTTTGACCCTTTACTGCCTGGGTATGGATGCAGAGAGCCCACATCCTGCCTTTTTCACTGCATCCAGGACTTGCAATCTAGTGTGCTCTAGACAAAGTCGCCATGGTGGCAGTGGTTTTTTTTTTTCAGCAGAGCTGCTCCCCTGTAGGACAGCATCCCTAGGCCAGTGGGAGATTGCACTTGGCAAAGGGAGTTGGATAAGTTAGATATGGACCAGGGGAACTCCAGCCCGTTACAGAGCTGTCCATGGAGCACAGACACAGGAAACCTGAACCTCCAAACACCTCAGCCAAGATCAACATGACATCCCAGTTTAATTATCTCTACCAAGAGGTGGCACTGAAAACCCTGAGGATACAGAGGTTTGGAAACCTTAGACCAAAGGTTGGGGGAGGGGGAAGGATGCTAGAGGCAGTCTAAGAAATCTTTGAACAGCAAGTGCACAATCACACCTGCCACCAAGGGCTTTATAGAGGCAGTAATTTCAGTGTCTGTATCCTCTAGCAAGTAACACCTGGGCATTAGGAGAGAAACCCAAGAGCTCTCTTGGCCTTTCCAATACTTGCATACATCGTCAGCTCCCCTGGATGTCAGCAGGCTTAGCTTGGATTTCCTTATCTCTCAAACAGAAACCATCGTCACACAGGGTTTTTGGCCACAAAACTGTTAGAGGAAGTGGCTGACTGCAGTTGTCTCACTCATGAGCTTAGGCCAGTGTTCAGATGTGACAGCAGCCCTGGCCATGTCACTCAAATCACCTGGGGATGTGTGGAGCAGGGGGAGGGATACAAATCGCTTTTAAAAATACATATTTTTTCCCCCTGCAAACACAAAAGCAACCAGATGGCTTTTAAAGGAGAACTGTATTGTATGATTGATTAAAATAGAAAAGCAGTAAAATAAATTTAAAAAAACCCCAAACTGAAGCATTTTAATGGTGCTTAACAGCAGTTGGTTAGATTTGGAGGTAACAAAGAATGGGAAATGGCAAATGGTTGCCAAGAAAGTGAAGCCCTTTGCCTTATGCTGCTTCTCATGCATAGCTCCTATCAGGCAGGGGATTACGTGCAGGGTTTTGTCTCTTACCCACCATCTCAGACATGTAACTTTTCTCCCCTCAGCCAGTGCTGTTCCCTTTCCCAGGTCTCCAGCACCCCTGCTGCAGAGCAGCTCTCAGCTGCTTTTGGGCAGATCTGCTACCCCTGGAAGAATCCCACCATAAAGACAATGCCTGAAGGGCCACTGGGCCCAAACAGCAGCGGGTAACAACAGCCAACACAGGTTCCCCGGAGCCACAAGGGGAGGGGAATATCACAGACCAGCAAGACAGCACACAATACCCTTTTCCTAGGTGCATGCAGTTTGCACACTCCTCTGTTGAGGGGAACAGCTTCATGACTTGGTGGAAGAGCTTGCAGCCCACTGTGTCAGCATGCTTGGTTTTGTGATGCAAAGAATGAGGAAGGTACCTGAGAAACCAAAAGCTTTACTTTACTCAGCTGCTGCAGAAAGCAAAACACCCTGGAAAGACAGTTCCTCTTATGAAAGTGAGAGACTCAGAAATAGCCAGTCAGAAGGTGTTCAGTTATATTTCTGTATAGAGCAAAGACTAAGCTCACTCTCTGCAAGACTTTGTACCAGGATGGGAAGTATTGCCTGCATAGCCCCTCAAGCCAGCTCACACCAAGGCTGTCTGGGCCTTTTCCCCCCTCTCCCTAGCTTTCAATCTTAACTGTAAGCAGCAAAAGCCATCCAACTCCAGAAAGTCTATTAAAATGCAACACCTTCAGGGCATCTAGAAGACTTGATCTTTGTGGTCAAAGCCAGGTCAAATCCTGACATTAGCCCTAGATGGCATTTACACCAGAGTTGTTCCCTTTCTGCAAAGGTTAAGTTTCCTGACAGTACTTCTTACTGCAGTGACAACAGGAACAACTAGTTTGAGATGAAGAAGGGTCTCACTCACTTGATCCTAGTACTGGAAAAGACCCTGACCCTCCTAAGTGCAACACCTCTCCTAGCATCCATCACCAGATCAAGCCATGTGGAGGGAAGGACTGAGACTGACCTGAAATAAATGCAGAAAAACCTGTAAAGGCCGTTCCTGGCACTGCAAGCAGGGGAAGAACAGAGTAGCTCAGGAACACAGTGCTTAGTGGAGAAACTTCAGAGCAGGGAGACAAGGGCCTCCTTCCCCTGGCTGCAGAGGCTCTGGAAGCATTTGTGTTGGCAGGAAGGCAGCGGGAATAGGCAGCTCTTTCCTGTTTCAGGCAACGGAGTCCACTGCGGACGTGTGCTCTTCCCTGCCAATGGCCACTTGCAGGAAGCTGGTCCCATGTCCAAATCATCTCCCCAACCCCATGGGTGTTTAAATAAGAAGATGGCAAGATACACAGCCAACATTTTGTTCCACCTTTATTTGAACAATGAGATAAAAACAGAACCGTAGTTTTAAAAGAGTCATTACATGGCAATTATAAAGTGCATTTTCCATTTCAATGTTGTGTACAAAAATATCTTTTAAAAACAAACATGCAAAACACCCCACAAGGCACTTCCAGGCACAGAGTGAGAAGAGAGACCCCCTCACTTCTATGTTCACATTGGCAATGGAAAAAGGGAAAGGGGAAAGGCCACAAGTGGTAATTTTAAACTGCTGTTTGTCAAATAGTCAGTTCCCAGCCTAACTTTTACTTATGGCATTGCTCTTCTAGCTTATCTTCCATGTTCCTCCCTAAGCACACTCCATCCACAGCCTGAAAACAAACAGGCCCCATAAGGAGATACCACCATCCGCAGCACCCCAGACATACATGCCTTGTTTTGGCTCACAAACAGCTCTCCATAGGCATAAGAACATGCCAGGAGAACAGAACTTTTCTACAGTCAGTGTCTTACAGCATTAACATCATACACTAAATAAAAAAAAAAATAAATGTCACTCAGACTTGCTTTAAGTTTAAAACCAGGTTCAAGCCAAGTGAGGCAACAGTCCCCTCAAGAGAGACCAAATGCAGGTTGTAAGGGCTGACTCGGGAAGCTGTTTGAACAGAGGAGCCAAGCCTGATGAGCTCTGGGCTAGCAAGTAGATTTATCACCCTGACTAAGTGACCAAGCGCAGTGATGACATGCATTGATGCTGGGTTTTGAAAAAGCAGCAGGTGAAGGCTAGCTATTCTTCCTGCAAGCTCTTGTCCCTTTCAGCATCCAACAGTGATCATAGTAACCCTTCTAGGTTAGGGTAAAACAGCTTGTAAGCATTTTATACCGTAGTTGCCAGAATTAAAAGCTAGGTTTAAAAAGCTAAGTAGTCTAGCCCATTGCTTCCCTCCAGCCCATCCATAGGCTACTATAGGCACCCAAAAAGTTATCTAAAGCTTATGCACTAGAAAAAGTAAGATTCCCTTGACCTCTATTTCTACAAACTATTCAGCACCCTCCCTTTGGGCTGAGGGATTAAGTTATTCTGCTCAACTAGCGTGCAAGAAGCTTTGTGAGGCTGTTTGGCACTGCACAAGCTGGCCACCTCACCTCAGCACAGGCCCAGAAGACAAGCCACCTCTCTGAAGACATGGATGGCTGACATCCATGATTTGTTTCACATCCAGGGGTGGTGTCAGGATAACCCCATATCTCACACTCCTCACAGGTAGTTCTTTGCACAGGTGGGGTGAGCTGCTTCTTATGGACATAAAAGATGCAAAGTTTGGGCATTTACAAGTTGAAATGGCAGCTACTGCTAAAACAGCGAGGGAAGCCCAGCCTGCTGATGCTCTTCCAGCATAGCCACAGCATCCTCCTCACATGTGAGTAGTGCCACACCATTAGCTGCCAAGCAGTCCATGGCACTGTGTAACAAACCATTAGGAGATCTTTTTTAAAAGCAACCTCATTTCCAAAGCCTCTTTATCCCAAAGCACATACCACCCCTTTCTTAGTCAAGGCACTTCCACCACAGTAGGTACACAGCAGTCATCATCTTGTAACAGGACACAGCATAGAGTAGCCAAGTGGGCCATTTGCATTTAGCTCCTGTAACACCTGAGCACGGCCTCCTGCACCTGACTCTGGGCCCCAGCTGGACAAAATCCTGTTTTACAGTCCGCAGTAGGACAAAATGCATTTTTGGGGCCCAGCATGGCCAACAGCTGACTTCAGATGCCCATCAAGGGGAAAAAGCATCACTGATCACTTGTGATTGAAGAAACAGGAAGGTTTTGAAGAAGGTAGTCAAGGCTGTGTTACCCACGGCTGTGTTACAAGCACCACACAGCTACAGCTAATCTCTATTTTTGGTAACACCAAGGGTATAAGGAGAGTTTTTCAAGATCAGCTGATAAAACAACTGGTGACTAAGCATATCAGATCTTCTCCCACGGGCACATATGTCTCCTAATATGGGAGGCTGCAGGGCCACATTTCCTGTCATCACAGTTGCATTTTCATTTCCAAGACACCCTTTCTGCCTCCAGCAAGGAAGGACCTCACACTACAAGGACACATGCAAGGAGAGGACTCTGTTCCCCACAAGCCAACCACTCTATTACCTGACAGGCACAGGCCAGCTTTGCAAGGAGAACCCTGCAGCTGAAGTACAGCCCACTAAAAATGTAATACTAGAACATACTTTGAAAAAGCCTTTTAACACTAGGCAAGCAATACAAACCAGCCACCACTACACAGCTTGGACAGACAATACAAGCACTGTAGTGTTTCCCTGGAGACTAGCAGCTTTATAGAAGAGGAAGGAGTAGCAGCACTGAAGAGACACAGGAGCATGAGCTGCTGGTCCTTTGAGCATCTGGAGAGCCAGTTACCCAAGCTGGGGCAGGGAAGGCAGCCCTTTATGTCTGAGATCCTTCCCTGACTACAAGCCCACTGCCAGCAGAGCACTGCACATCCTGTTTTGCTGGGAGGCTTATGCAGAGCTACATGGAGCCATACTTCTTCCAGCCTTCCGTCCATCTCATGTTCAGACCAGCTCCCAGGCCTGCGGGCACACCAGCAACAGTCAGTCAGGACTTTGTCCTTGGGTCAATAGTAAGGCCCTAGCTTCTCATAGCCCGAATAGCTGGGCCACTCGGGAAAGAGGCCATAGGAGCACCGAGGGCTCCCAAACTGGTCAAAGGCACTGACAAGGTCAGGGCCCCGTGGGGGGCAGACAGCTTCCTGGGCAGACTTCAGTTCTGACCGTATGATCTTGTAATTTGTGCCCTTGTTGCTGTCCCAGTACACCTTCCCATTGCACTCAAAGGAGATGGCAAACTCAACTCTTTCGTGGGATTGAATTCCCTTGGGCAAGCTGATGTCAAAGGAAAACGTGTCCCGATCTGATCCTCCGTACGTATCCTTGACATACTGGCATGGGTAATCTACAAAGTTTTTCCAAGTGTCAAACGTCATCCTGATCTTCACAGTCTTTTCAAAAGCAAGGTTCTTCACCTTCACTGTTCCCACAACAGAGCGCTCCTTCAGCATACAGTTTTCAAGGCAGACACAGTCTGCCTGGAGGCGGTTTCTGAAGTCCAGGTAGTCCACAGAGGGCTGAACAAAATCCAGGACAAAGCTGTCCCTCTCCACTGTTGTCAGACCCACAATGTTGTCTATCAGCTCGGTGATGTTAAAAGGAATATCTAGTGGATCATCAAACTCTGAGAACACCTTCACCATCGTCAGAGCAAAGCCTCTGCTATCTGCAAACGACACCCTCTTCTTCACTTTGTTGTGTGTGAAGGAGTTTGCTGCCTCTTCTGGTCCATTCAGCACAGCCTTGCTAGTCAGCTGGATGCAGGGCCGCAACGGCTTGCTTGGCTTCGGAGCAATTTTGCAGGCACACGTCTCTCTTCGCAAGGGTGAAGAACATAGGTATAGCTGCATTGCTACATCCACAGCCATTGTTTGTTTGTGAGGAAAATAGTCTAATACTCTGGAAGATGAGAAGAAAGGTCAGTTGATGTTAGAAAAACATTTTAATATTACTTTTGTCAGACAATTGCTACACCACTTTCCCCCAGCCATCCCAAAGAAATGTGCTTCCATCAATACCCCAAGTCCCTCAAGCTTAATTAAAGGCATGTACTTGCATGGTGTGATTTACAGACACAGTGAGAAACGTGCTACAGCAGAAGTGGCAGGACCAAAGCCTGTTGTGCACTTGAACGAGATCTCTTCCAATTGCTACAGGGACAGAGTCACCACTTGAAGGCACAGGCAGGCACTGCCCTACTAGGCTAGCAATAGCAGGCTCCAGAGCATTTCTGACCAAAAGCAAAGCCCATGGCCCAGTCCTCCTGATGTCCACAAAACCCAAAGCCTATCAAATTTCAATACTCCATTGACCAGTATTCTTGCTGCACTCTCCTCGCTCCAGGAAAGACTCTCACCAGGGCATCAAATGCTTTTGTAGGAGCAGGAACTCAGTTTGTCACAAGCTGCTGTACACAACTGAGCTCATCCTTCACAAAACCCCAAATGCCTGGTATTTTTAGAGGCTAAAAAGCACTCATTTGGTTGAGCTACATACTTTGCTCATTACTGTCTCCCAGAACTGCTCCATCTAAAATGCCTGCAAGTGGTATTGTAAGGATAGCAACAGTCTGATAGAGCAGCAAGGTAGAGACTTAACTGACATTGCTCTGCACCTACAGAGGAGCTATTTTCTTCCTTCTACTGCACTTTAAAACACATGTCAGCTGAGATGGCCCAGCAGGCTTTACCTTTTGCACAGAGCTCACCTACTCAAAGTCGTCCAAGCCTTTGGAAACAAGTCCTTTCCCTGGAAGGCACAGGACATGTGGCTCTCCACCAGAGCCTCTCCTCCTCCAGCACCCAGCTCATTTCTCCAGGGATGCAGCACTGTCCCCCTCTATGCACCCATGCTGGGGCAGCTCCCACCCAGCACCTTGCCAGATGTAGCCCTAGAGTTGTCTCTGCAGCCAGGCAGGTCTCAGAACATTGTACCTATCGCTCCTACCCTTACACTGAGGTTAGGCTGGATGCTTTTGGCAGAATCTCTTTGGCCTGGCTCTGGATAAACCACTGGACAGATTTATCGCACAAATTTGCCTTAAGTCAACTGCATTGCAGCTGATCTTAAACACAGAGTATTCCCTTAATAAAAATCCCCTGTTTGGCTGCAGACCAGGCTCCAAAACTGCTCCCACCACGCAGAGCAGGGTGAGCCAGCAGCAGTAGCAGCAGCCACCGGCCACATGACACAGCGGAGCCCTGTCTGCCAAAGCCACACACAGCCAGCTCTAGTACTTGACTCCTGCCCCCGTGCCAAGAAAAAGCAAGCACTACACTCTTCAATTCAGTGCTTTAATTCCCCAGCCTGCAACTGCAGCACAGCAGCTCTGAGCAGGCTTTCACAGCATCCTTTCAGCAAGGGCACCTCTTTATTCAGAGCACATGAGCCAAGGCTTGCTTACCAACACACCCACCAGCTAACTCCTTCTGCATTGCCTCCTCCAGCCTCCTTTCAGCTCAAGGGCAGCTGTACAGGACAGACAGCAGATCTACCTTGTCTGCTAACACCATTCTGCTCATCTCTGCCCAGTTTTGCCAAGTTTTTATTCACACACACTTTATATAGGTCATTTCCTCCTTTAAATTAAGGCAGCCTCCAATGCTTCTCTCTTACTTGGGCCAGTTTCATCTGCATTGCATCTCCTCCTAGTGAAATTTATTCAGCTGAATTCCCATAACTGCTGAGAACTCAGGTTTCTTGGTAACCTGTGGTTATCCACCATTCTTAGAATGAAGAGGCATGAAATATCCAGCCTAATTTGCATTATTTGGAGGGTTTTTCCCCCCCCCAAGTTAAGAATTATAGTACTAAGGAGTTTTTCATACCTACTATTAGGCTGAGCTGTATGCTTTTACAAACTTTTTCAGCTCACTTGATACTCCAGTTGTCTCTTCTTGCTCTTGAGAGCCTGCTGATGCCGCGCTCCCAGCCCCAGAGGAAGGTTTCCCAGGTACTGGCCACCTTGAACTTCAGAGGCTTTGAAGGTGGGAGCAGGGAAATAGTTTTGAGAGCTCACACAGGAGCAGGAGCTCTAAGAAGGAGGCGGTGCAAGGCGGGAAGCCCTACACAGGTACAGGGGCTGGTTCCTTTCTCCCCCCTCTCAAAAGGAAGGGGACAGGCTTAGGTTCTGCCTCTGGACATCTTCCTGCAGCTTTACCCCCTCCAGAAGAGGCCACCACCACTCACTCTT